ATCAAGCAAAAAATCCTCAGACCTTGTGGTAAGGGTAAGAGACTTAGCAAGAAGATCTAGACTACTGTAGGATGCTGTTCCTGTCTCCATGACAGATTGCTTCTTTTTGCTAGTGCTTTCCCCTATTAAATATTGATGAAAGCTTTCTGGAAATTTTAATTAAAAGTTCCTTGAGGACAGAGACTGCAGAAGCCTTTTTTCATTCTATATAAAATGAATCCATTCCCAGTAGCTGAAGTAAATAGTCCAATCAACTGATGTAAAACCATGAAAACACTGAGAATGGATTTTTTATGGAAATGTAGCAGCACCGAAAATAAGGGGAAATCATTGAGGAGACCAATGGAGGGGGCTTCCCTTTCTCTTTGGATTAATAGAACTCCCTGATGTTATGCTTACATCCTTTTGTCTTCAGTCCCATATTGGACAATGACCAAACACAGTTCCTAAATTATCTTGTTCTAGCTTCCAGGAGCTATTACCACCAGGCTTCATCTTCAATTGCTTCAGTTCCAATTTTGATTCTACTATTCTTACAGAGTTGGCTTTTTCATTCTGGGTCAAATTTTCACTCTTCTAATCACTTACTGATGGGGGTAAAGCAGGAATCAGCTACAAAGACAGGTTACGAGGGACCCATCTCAAGGAGGACTTGTCAGGAAATGAGTCAGGGACTCCCAAAAGAGTCTCCAAAGAACCAGAATGTGTACTGTGTACACCCTGTAGTATTAGTCACTATTCTCAATTCTTTTTACAGCAAAAAAAAAGATAGAAAAAGAAAAAAAATAGACATACCCAATAACAGTAAACAAACAAAAGCTTCTACGGTTTTATAAAATTTATTTGTCAATGCTGTGGGAACTCCTTCAGCCAATAGCCTTTAAGATACCAGCCCACTTAGGGTGTGGTCTCATGTACTATAAATGCAAACAAAAAAGTGTGCTGGATTTGGTTCCAGTTCCCAGTCCTTGCAGAGGACTGTGGATTGCTCCTCTATCTATGACTTTATCCCCAGATAAATAAACCTTTGTTATACTTCATTCTGGGCTAGCGTGGAACTCTTGTACACCAACAAAATAGCTCAACAATGTGGGGCAACTACATCTACATAAAATCTCAGAGAGCTTGAGAAGGAATTCTAGAAGCAAAAGAACAAAGTTAAACATTAACCAGCATTTTTTCAGGTGGACAAGCAAAGGCATGATTCCTTTAAGATGGTCCTTCAGGGCTCCTGTTTCACACGAAAAACTACCAGACATTCTGCAGGGCACAAAAGAAAGCAACTGATGAACTTTGCCAGTACAAAGCGAAACAGATCTTCAAATTTCATGCTTCATGTAAAAGTCTGCCAGACTCTATGAAGATGGATATCCTATCATTACAGTAGAACTTTGGGTGACTGTCAAGGCAGTGATGTCTCTGTCAATTCTAGAGTTTTAGAAGTTGCTTACAATGCATTTCCTGTTTACTTAGGTAATATATCCTTCTGGGGTCTTTGAAGAGTTAAAGAAAGATAGTTATAGTTTTCCTTAACTATGATAAAAATAAATTAGATAAAAAACTTTAGACTCAAAAAAATCTTTAGACTTACAAAGATAGGATTGATGATAGAGTATTTTTCTCAACTTACCAAATGTAAATGGACTAAATATTTATAATGTTTTGTATATGTAATTTTACTATGTTAAAGTTAAAGCCTTCCTTTAATTAGACAGAAAAGGGGAGATGATGTGGGATTCCCCACTGTATGCTGTGAATATGTTTTATTACCATTTTTAATAAAGAAGCTGTTTTAAATTCTGAAATTCCATCTTACACACATGTAAGAATGGGCAAGATCAAAAACACTGATAACATATGCTGGAGAGGTTGTGGGGTAAAGGGAACACTCTTGCATTGCTGGTGGTAGTGCAAGTTGGTACAGCTTCTTTCGATATCAGTATGGCAATTTCTCAGAAAATTAGAAAACAACCTTCCCCAAGACCCAACAATATCACCTTTGGGTATATATCCAAAGGATGCTCAATTGTGCCACGAGGACATGTGCTCAACTATGTTCATAGGAGCATTATTTGTCATTGACAGAACTAGAAACAATCTCAATACCCCTCGACCAAAGAATGGATAAGGAAAATATGGTACATTTACACAATGGAATACTACACAGTGGAAAAAATAATGACATCTTGAAATTTGCAGGCAATTGGATGGGTCTAGAGAACATCATATTGAGTGAAGTTACCCACATCCAGAAAGACAATTATATGTACTCACTCATAAGTGGTTTTTAAACATAAAGCAAAGAAACCATGCTACAAACCACAATTCCAAAGAACCTAGACAAAATAAAGACCCTACGAGAGATAAACATGAATCTAATCTACATGGGAAGAAGAAAAAGACAAGATCTTCTGAGTAAATTGGGAGCATGGGGACCATGGGAGAGGACTGAAGGGGAGGGGAGAGGCAGGGATTGGAGCAGAGAAAAATCTAGAGCTCAATAAAAATCAATAAAACAAACAAAAAACAAAAAAGGAAGCTGTTTTAGCTAATGGCACACACACACACACATACACACACACACACACACACACAGAGAGAGAGAGAGAGAGAGAGAGAGAGAGAGAGAGAGAGAGAGAGAGAGAGTAGGTGGAGTCAGGGAGATGCCATGTAGCTGCTGAGGGAGAAAGATGCTAGCCAGAACCTTACCTGGTGAGCCACACTCTCGTGGCAATACACAGATTAATAGAAACGTGTTAATTCAATATGTAAGAGCTAGCTAGAAATATGCCTAAGCTATTGACCAAACAATGTTGTAATTAATGTAGTTTCTGTATGATTACTCAGTTCTGGGCAATCAGGAAATGAATGAGCAGTTGCTGTGTACATGTCAACGCAGGACTAGCTGTCATAAGTTATCACAGACTGGGACATATTAGTCCACTTTTGCTTTTGTTTCCCCCAGCTACTTAACATTTGAAATCATTCTTAGTTCTCAGGAACTGCACATGAAGACTGCAGGCCAGACTGACCCACCTGAACTTGTGTACCACGCCGAGCTTGGGGAGCGAAGAACTTACTACTTTGCAAAGTTGTTTAAGTGTTTTCTCCATCCAATGATTGACACCCAAGATTTCCTCATCTTTCAATAGACCCATTACAGTATGTAGCTCCCTGCTCCACTGTCATGAGGGAAGGGAGGCTGGAGGGGCACATGTGTTCTTAAAGCCTTGGCCTGGGAACACTGTAATTTACACATTGCTGTCCTAAGTCCCTTGGCCGGAAATGACCATAGTATCCTAATCTGCTTACCCAAGAAGTATAGAATACAGTGGTATATAAGATATCCGGAATATAATACCTATGCCACATGATAAAGTCAAAGAATATACCAAATAATTTATTTTATGTCTGTCAGTCAAACACATTTCAGTGTTTGCAGTCCTTTTTGTTTATGCTGTCCTGGACCATTGGATGTGCAGAATCTCAGAAAATCTAACCTCAAGTAATGTTACTGTATAAGTAAAAGAACACAGATGTAGCATAGTAAATTTAATGAAGGTATAAAAGTAGTAGTCTATTTTCATTGTTTCAAATATTTGACAGTATGACCTGGGTTTATTTTTATTATATTATTAAAGGATAAAAACGTCTATTTTTTTTCCACCATAAAAACTCTACACATTTGTAGCTCATTAAGATTATTAGAAGACATCTTCAAGGATCTAATAATCTGTGCCATTCCAAATGCCCAGGAAAATTCATGTGTAATTTTGGTACATAACAATTCTCTTATTTTCAATTTTTATGTTAGTTTTTTTAACTATATCGTAAATACAAAAATTTTAATATGCCCTATTATCAAATGGTTCCATTGATTCAGCTCATCTCACTAACCATATGAGTATACAATCTTCAAATTACATACACACATCATGTTTAAGTCTTCCTGCTTAACTAATGTTTTTATTTTTTAAACTGTAGCTTGGGTTAGAAAGATGTCTTAGCAGTTGATAACACTGGCTGTTCTTCAAGAGAACCCTGGTTCAATTCCCAGAACCCATATGCTGACTCACAATGGTCTGTAGCTCTATTTCTAGTGGCCCTGATACCTTCTTTTTAATGCTGTAAGCACTGCATACACACGGTGCACATAAATACATGCAGACAAAATACATATACATACACATACGGAAACATACAAGCAAATATTATTGCTATGTTCATTTGACAAAATAATACTATTTTTTCCTAGACCAGTGATCTAACTAGTCTCAGGTTCTTGACCAGTGCAAGGAAGCTGCCTTCCAGGCACAATAGGACCGAGTTACATATGAACTTGCAGAGACTATGCTAGCATCCATAAGACCTGTACCAGGTTCAGAGAGAGAGAGAGAGAGAGAGAGAGAGAGAGAGAGAGAGAGAGAACACAGTTGAGTGAGGAGGGAGATAGAGAAGAACTGATAGGGGTTGGGAGAGGGAAAACATCAAAAAGATACTGTCTAAAAGTTTTAAATAAATAAATAAAATGAAAAGAAAATATAAATAATTTTAAACTAAATCAATTAATTGTTTTTAATGTGTGTACATGCTATAACACATGTGCAGAAATCAGACACCTATGTGGAGCCAGTTTTCTTCTACCTATATGCTGGCTCTAGGGATTGAACTCTGTAACTCTGTATTCTCTGAAGTTTTGCATCTTCATTTGTCCTAATGTAATCTCTTCTTTATATGAATTTTCTGTGCTGCTGTGACTCCAAATCATACAATCAACTGTTATTGATACAGCAACGTGCATTTTATATGATTTACTAACATTTTATTTTCCCATTAGTCTTCTTTATGAATATTCAGCACAAAATATATTACAAAAATAGACAAATTTCTCTTGTATCTGAAAGTTGTCAATCAGCACACAAAGGAAAACAGAAAGACCATAAATATTTTAGCACTTATGATAGAAATAAAAACATTAAATGTTACACGTATTGCCCAGTTTTAGAGGAAACATTTTTTAAGGGTCAGTTGTTAAAAAATGCAATCTATAATTATTACATTGTTGGTATATTTCAAAAGGTTTTTACTTTCAAGAATGAACTTAGCCTGTGCATGTTATCACTAATTGCAGAACACTGTATATGACTGCTCAGTATCAAGCATGGAGCAGACATGCACTTCTGAAATTAGAGTTCATGTGATGGTTCGGCATGTTTCTCCCTGAATTAGTTTCACCTTTCTAGGAAATAAGGTTGTGATCAAAATTAGGCACTTTTCTACATAAAGATGAGAGTTTCAATGAAGGGCACCCAGATAGCGTTTGTGGAAAAGAAGTTGTGCAAAATGAGAGTATAGATCACAGTGTAAGGAGGATGCCTCAGTAACTAAGCAACACGCTGCAGAATCGGGAGCTGGAAATCGTAATTACAACATCGCATACCAGTTAGAACTCCTCCAGCTGAGAACTCACAGTCCACGCAGGCTAACAACTGGGTCCCAAACCGAGCTGAAGTCAGCTGAGAAATGAATGATGATGTGCTCACAATCATGCAGATTGCTTCAGCACAGAAGAGGAATGAAAAGGAATTAATTCAGGATGTGAGCAAGCCTGATGACTCAATAGCAAAATGAAAGAAACAAGGAAAAATATAGGAGATACTAAAAAAAAAAAGAAGTTTCTAATTCTTTGATTTCTAAAAATTCTCTCAAATTGCTTCAGAATCTCATTTGAATGACTTCTAATGATGCAATTTTGGAAATGGATGGCTTTCAGACATCTTGGTCCCATAGAAAGCAGTCTCAAGTTTCATGAAGAAACACATGAAGAATTCTGTTTGGAGGCCAAATTGAACCATTTTAGGCTTTACTTGGAAGGTAGCCTGCTAATAGAGAAAGATAGCAGAAAAAAAAAAGAGAACAAATTTTAAATACAAAAATAAATGCCTTCCATTTTGCCACAGTTGTGCTAGAGTCAAATGAACAGTACTGAATTTAGGTCAAACACAAACTCAGATACCAAGTTAAAACTCGGTGTTGACTCTCTCCATGCCTTAGCTTGCTTATTTCTGAATTATAAGCAGAGCTGAATGTCTTTGTGTATATCCTTGCTTTTCCAACAATAAGATTTAGTTCCTGCCAGATTTTGAGATCTTTCTGTTCTCCGATTAGAAGATACCTTGGTTCTCTCCATCACTCTAAGAAGGAAATGCTGCAAGAGAAGACACATGACCTTCAGAGTTGACTTTAAGCCTTTTTCTCTTTCAGTGTTGCCAATAGAACTGGACTGTTCTATGTAATCAGACTTTCCTTAGGCTGTAGCTCACAAATAATGAAATGGAGAGTTATTAATAATTGTGAAACCTTGACCTTAGCTTAGGCTTGTCAAATTAGCTTCTATAATTTAAATTAACCTGCTTTTATTTTAACGTACACTTTTTTTTCTTGAAGCCTTTTGTCTTTCTTTCATTCCATGTGTCTGATTCCCCCCACCATGTCTCGCTGGCATCTCCTCTGTGTCTTGATTATCTCCCACTACTTTTTCCCTCTTCCCAGAAATACTGTCTTTACTTCCTGCTTAGCTCTTGGCCATTGAAATTTTTATTACACCAATTACAGCAATATATTTTCACACAGTGTACAAATATCTCACAACATTTCCCCTTTTTGTCTAAATAGAAAGGAAATGTTTTAACTCTAATACAGTAAAATTATATACAATAAGAACAATTATCAAGTAAGAATTACATTCACAGTGTCTAGTCCATTTGCATTTGTCAAATTTGGAGAAATTGTTCTATTATCTATCTTATCTTGATGAGTGCAGAGTTTTATGCCTAAACCATTTCTATCATAACTTGTACTACCATCCTAAAAATATCTTTTTAGACTTTTAAAACATCTTAGATTAAAAAAAGCTTAAGGGTTTATGTTTCTCAACCTTAAATATTATGTAAGTTTCTTTTTGAATTTGGTAACAAGAAAAACTGTAAAACTATAACTATTTAGTCTTTAACCCCATCAAAGACTCTAGAAGTATCTAATATTACCTGATTCATCATGAAGTACTGAGAAAACAGATTCCAAAATTAAACAATAGAGACAACTGACTGTCTCGATAGTCACTCTATGGTCCCCTGAAATGTTGGGGTATACATCTTTGACCTACAGGCATATATGACTTTTCTGTGAAGCAGAAATTTTGAAGGACTATGCAACCTTGTTTTTTCAAAGTTTTGCAGTTACTTTATTTTGTGTCCTGTTTATCCAATTTGGACAGCATACTGTCAGCAGTTGAGGCAGAGACAGTTTCTTTCCAAGTGGATAACTTTTCCACAATAAAAGCAAACTCCATATGGAGGTTCTTCAATGCCCATCATCCTTTTCAGAAGTAGACTGGTACTGCCAGGAGCAGATATATCTCACTGTCATGAAAAGTCTTACATGTTACATTCTGTAGGTCTCTTAAGTGTTTAAAGACCATCTATCTAAAATATACCTCTGTATGATCTTGCAAACATACCTAACATGAGCTACAGGTATGATTGTTATGATGACGAATGACTAACCTGTGTTTCTTAATTATCCTAAATGGTTTATAATAATTGCTTTCAAGGACTAGAACTTTACATTTTTAAATGCACTGCATAGGTACAATACATTAAAGAAGAGTACAAGCATATATGCAATATGTTATAACCAAAACAATCTGAAATTTGTATCAATATATAAAAATTTATAGCAATGGAAAATCTTTGAGACTACTCATTGATTTCTAGCTTAAAATTAGATTCAATAATCTACCCTTTTATCCTGTCATTCCCATATCCCCTTTTTCTCTTCAGAAAGAGATCGCTGAATCTAACCTCCTTTTTTCAGCTTTTTTCCTGATCATGAACATTGACTGCTTGTAATCAACTCCCCTAAGTGATGATAAAAATCTATAATCCATTGAATGACCAAAAACCATCTACCCTCTTGGGAATATGGGTGACATTTTCTCTAGATGGCTTTCTGCTATCCGAGAGTGATAGCATTTTTAGGGAATGCTATTAGGATAATAGTCAAGTCTTGGGAGAGTTAGTTGTATTATTTTTGTTTAGTTTCTGTGTGAAGGGAAAGTATAGAGCTTATCTGAAGTCTTTGGCTGGATAATCTGTGAGGCTAGACCACCCTAGCTAGGTTTGAATTAGTTCTAGATGCAGAATTTTGAGGAGACTGCAACAGAGGCGTTCTGAGCGACTGGATCACCTGGGCTACTACTTCTCCTCATTGGGGTTTAGTCCTTTTTTCTTTCTGAAAACACACAAACTTTTAAATGTAACACACAATGTAATATATATCTGTATTAACACAAGTATGGAATGTGTAGTGTATATACACAGTCAGCTAAAGATGATTTTTTGTTTTATGTTTGAGCAGGTTAAAAGCATCTGTTAACTTAACAAGTTTGTTTGGAATGGATAACCAAATCTCTATCCATGCCATATGAAAAGATAGCATATAATAATAAGTCATGAAGATTCTGTAGCCAAAAAATCTATCATATCTCAGTCAGTCTCAGAGTTGTTCCCATGTCAAAAGATCAGCTTATATATCACCTATCTTGTAGTCTTGACCATTTCGCCTCTATCTCATTGTGTATGTATAACTTATTCTGTATCTGGCTGGCTTCCATGTCTCTCTTTTCCCCAGAATCTTCTCTGTGCCTGGAAGTTCTGCCTAGCTATTGGACATTTAGCTCTTTATTAAACCAATTAGAAGGAGTCTTAGCAGAGACACATCTACAAAAATAATATTCCACAGCAGTTCTATAGCTGGGCTTTGGCACACATTGCAAAAGAAAAACTACACACATTCAGATATTTTGGACTTTAAAACTGAAATAGGCTTCTAATAAGAGCAGCTAGAGGAAGAGCCAGAGTTTGTCTACTTACGCACTTGCACATCCCTATAGGTCCTGTTCCTTTTGTTACAATCCTGAAAGGTCCTCTGATCCATGGCTGCAGTTCAACTCAGCACTGTGAACCCCATCTGTGAGAAAATCCATTAATACTACTAATTTATTTACACTTTAAAAGGTCAGTCTCCTTTATATAAATCTAGAACATAAAAGCATATTTTAAAGAAATGTCAATACTTTCTCGAAAGCCAAATGTTCTACTAGAGGTTTGCACTCAGTTCTATTCTCCTTTGTGGAAGTATGCAGAGGCTCTTCAAGGGATGTCAAAGCTACATTGAAAACTATATTCATCTCTCCACTGCTACTTCGGTGAGCAATTCTTGCCTGGTCACAGTTTAATAAAGCATTACCCATTCATTACCCATTCATTGACCGTCATTCTTACATCTCCTCACTCCCATTTTCTCTAGTTTTCATGCTGCCAATTGTCATCTGAAATGACATATTTGTTTATCTCTGTCTTTATACAACAGATATGAACTCTACAATAGAAATTTAGCCCATCATTATTCAGAATAAATTGTAAAACGCGTTTCTCTTTTTGTATTGGGGTTCTTTACAGTTTTGGAGCTTGAATCTAAGTCCTCAAACAGGCTAGGCAAGTACTACCACTGAGTTACCTTCCCAGGTGGAGATCCTTAATTCTCCTCACTACCTGAGTGGTTGGATGAGTGTGTGGCAAAATGTGGCAGACATCGAGTGGAGAAGAAAACTCATTTTATCCATGTGGACTCTGTGTTTGGTTAAGAGTGAATAATAAAATGGTATGGTATTCAAAGATTTGCGTCGACACGCTGGCTTTGTGACTAGTTAAAGACAAGGGAAACCACATTTGCAAATAGAGAAAATAATTTGAATATAGGCTCAAAGTAGATACATGCTAATAATATGCATATTTCATGTGCAAAGACAGGTAGCTATTAAAGTTTATGTAAGGGATGTGGTATTAGTGATGTAGGTTCACCCAGGTCTAAAAAGACCTCAGAGGCTAGGTTAAGACATTTTTTCATTTCAAGAATGGTAGTTCATTCACAGTTAATAAGTACAGGAATATAGTATCAAATATAAGTACAAAATATGAGTACAGCAAGACATGATTGAAATACACAGGGTATTTCAGCTGTAGAAGAGTCTAAAGAGATGCAGTTAGGAACTATTTCTTTTAGTTAGGAACTATTTCAATGAGAAATGTTAGAACAATAAAGAGGAATTCTTTTACAAGGAAGATATGTACAACACATATTATGCAAGAAGAATGAGGCAAATTAATTTAATTTCTTTTGGAATCCTTAGGAGAATAAAGAAACCCATCTTCCCTAACACTCTAAGCACATTTAATTTTATGAGTCTTTGCAGTCATCATAGGATAGGAGTAGTAGAAGAGTAATTATAAAAATGAAGTCGACAGAGACTGAAACCACTTCCCTAGCTGACTTCACTGGTTTTATAATATTGATTATAGTTTTTGTATTTTATTTGCTCAAAATAAAAAGAAACAGAAGTAGATGACTACATGGTGGTGTAATTACATAGTACCTTATGGTTGGTGACTTGGCAGATTGTCCTTCAGGAAGCACAGGCTCTCATCATGATGTCGTCGTTGTTGAGTGATGGATAGCACAAAACTATAGAATATCCTAGGATTCATAAATCTGTGAACTCTAAAGAAAATGTCTCCAATAATTAGAAAAAAAAGGGGCACCTTATTTTTAAGAAATACAATAAGAAGCCGGGCGGTGGTGGCGCACGCCTTTAATCCCAGCACTCGGGAGGCAGAGGCAGGCGGATATCTGAGAGTTCGAGGCCAGCCTGGCCTACAAGAGCTAGTTCTGGGACAGGCACCAAAGCTACAGAGGAACCCTGTCTTGAAAACCAAAAAAAAAATACAATAAGAAAATAATCTTATTTTTAAGGAAAAATTAATCACATTGCTGCTTTAAATCCAAGAAAACAAGAAAGATAAAAAATGTATGATGTAAAGTGTTTAAAATAGTATGGGCACAATAGCTCATGTCAGTTGAGGCCACACAAGCCATTTGTCGAGTGACACTGAAACTGGCTGCATCTTTTACAGCCCCTTTAGTATTCTACACAATGGTGAGTATGTTTTCTTACTTTTCATAATAATAAACATTAATCAAAAGACAAACTGAAGTATGATTTTGATGACTTCACCTATATCTTCTGCATGTGTCTACTTATATAGTTAAGAGTTCTGGTGCCAAGGGCAGCTCGTTTCACTCACAAATATCACACAGTTGATGAATTTCATGCTAAGGGTGACTGAAGCACCCCTTCTGTCTAATGTCATGCAAAGAACTAATTTACATGGTAAAATCATACTGATAATTGGTATCTAACTACATCTTGCAACATCTGACATTGTGCCAATCTTTTATATTTTTAGTGCTTTGCAAAATCAGACAAGATAAAACATCATATCATCTTTGTCAACTTGGAGAATTCTTAGAGCACCAAAAGTAAGATCTGTAAGGAAAAACATGTTAAACTGAATTCAAGAAAATAGGAAAGTCAAGTGATAAGACATTAAAAGTTAAGGGTAGGGACAGCCTGGTTGTATAGGAGATAGACAACAAAAGAAAAACAGAAAACAATCCTCTGAAGGAGAGTAGAAACTCATCACACACATATTTAACAAACCAAAGTAAAATTAAGAAATCCCTAAAATTCAATAGAAAAATGATTAAAAGACTCCAGCAGGTATTCACAAATTAAGGACATTTAAAGGGCTTCAAACACAAAGTCCACAATTAACAACTAAAATATCTTTACCCCTATCTGTCTCATCTATACCTATATCATCACTAGAAGACACAGAGGTTCATGAAACCATTTTTGTAAAGTTTGGCAGCACCTTCTCATAAAAAATATATATAATAAAATCTTTCAGCCAGTGTCTTATCTTCTAGGTGAACTCATAACAAATGTGTAATTTTTGTCCAGTCATCAAAAGACACACAGCAGTGTCCTTTATAATACCCTATCTATAACTCCCAAAAGGGTCTTGCCAGCCAGTGACATCAGAAAGGGTTTGGATATATGCATGCTGAGATGATCGCCAGAGTTCAGAGCCTGAAAAATGTAAAACTACAAGTAAGGACTCAAAGCAAGTCTGTGCTAAGGGGGATAGATACAAAAAATGAGAATATGATTTTTTATATAAATTAACAAAATGTGAAAAGTGGTTTTAGTTGACAGATACAGAGATAATATCTTTTCAGATACAAGGGGTTGTTTTTGTCAGAAAGAATACATGAAAAGTGGACAGGGTTCTTCAGTGGTTGTCACTAGGTGCAATGGATAAGCTATAACTGTGAGTGACTTTTCTCAGTGTCTTGTTACTTATGAATGGGCTCAACCTTCACATCCTTGACATCGTCCTGGACAAAGGCTAGTTAACTCACGCTGGAATGCCCTGGAATTGTGAGCAGGATCAGCATCTTTTCAGTTATTCTATTACATCTCTGTTTGGAAATTTGTTCTTCATCTAGTTTGGCCATTTCTCTATTAGATGGCTTTATTTCTCTAATAGATGGCTTACTATTTCCCTGGTAATTATATTCACCGAGCTTTAATGCGCAGTTGGTTTATTTTCCTGTAACTACAAAATGTTTCTGTGTCAATCTTTCAACTTCTGTGTTTCATAGTTTCGGAAACTTGTGTTATAGGAATGTTCCCTAACAGTTCATATTCGTTCATTTATTTTTCACATATTTAATACGTTTTTATTTACTTTGAGCATGGTGTGATAGAAAAACTCAACATTTCTGTCTCAGGCAGATGGCTGAAGGTGCCAGTACAATGTGTTAAGTACTCAGAGTGTCACTCCACTGATTATCTGTCATCTAAGATTATCTGTCTGTTATCCATCTACCTGTCTCTGTGTAGCCCAGGCTGCCCTAACATTATCTGTGTTCCATCCTCTTCTAGTCAAGTGTTAGGATTATAGATGTGCGCAATCATGCTTGAGTTTATTTATAATTCGTTCATCCACTCATTCATTTATTCATTCTTTAGTCCTGGGTCTCATGGGTGCCAATATCGTGCCCTACTGACTATACTCCAACTCTCACTAAGTGGTTATACACTCTACCTTTATTATAAGGCATAATTTGTGTAGACGTTTCTGGTTTGTACCCAATGGTCCATGATTAAATGTGGAAATTCCTTTTTGTTTTACAATATGGTTTCACAAATAATATGATAGCAACATAATGTTATATATAAAAGAAAGGTAATTCTTGTCCATATCAACTTGTTGAGTTTATGGCGTCCTTTTGGTGGCGATGCTCACGGCTGCCATCATGGATTTGTGGCATGGCACTGCTGACAATTACTATTCTTGTGATGTCTGAGCCTTCCACTGTAGGGCAGCTCTCCCCATCCTTTTTTCCTAACAATCTCCAGATGTCTGCAGCTCTCTAACTTGCGCTGTTTTCTAATAAGAAATTTATCGGACAATTTTGCGTATTTTTTGGTATTGCGAATATTCACTTTACATAACACTTTCATTTTATTTGTTATTAGTAGCTGATAGAGCCACCATTTAGCTGTCCAAGTGGCCAAGATCAAACTCATATTTCTGTACTTGCTTATGCAGTGGGAGTGGTCTTCAGCCTGTCACTCTTACTTAACTAGAGCCAATACTAAAGCTAAGTCGCACCCCTGTGCACCCTGTCTCACGCATGCCTCTTAGATCACTTCAGCCTGTGGGTGTTTTCAATGTTGTAACAAATGCCACATTCAATTAGAAGCATTTCTGTATGTTTCAAATATCATTACGTTGCATGGTTCTACAAACAAAGTAAGGAAGAACAAGTTTTCATAATTCTTTTGTTCATATGGTTGTGGTTACAAACTTTTTCTGAGATTTCTTGGGAATAAATAAGGAGTAGGACCCAGAAGGAGCCAGTGCTGAGAGCAGGCCGTCTCTGGAAAGCTGCCCACCCATGCTCACCTGCCGTTAGCCCTCTTTATTTAATTACTCTAAAACCACATATCCTGGGCTATATCAGTATCATACAATTCATGTTATTTCCGGTGCACAACAAAGGAACACTGCCAGAAAAAAAAAAAAGCTTTTTCTTATATTGTAATCTGCAAAGCTACAGACAAGTGGATAAGATACCTCCAGTAGCTGTGATGATCACCAGCCCAAGGCAGGTTACCTGCTGTAAATAGATTAACCCACAGAGATCATTCAGATGCTGGGGCTTCCCCTGATTTACTTGCCTTCCGTCCACTTCAGTCTGCTCCTGCCACACACTCTCTCTTTAAATGTGTATGGGCTTATGTGACATACATGTATCCGTGTGGAGGCTGCAAGACAGCCCGGAGTGTCATCTTCATGAGAGCCATCCTCTGCCTTTGAGGCAGGGTCTCTCATTGGTCTAGAAATTCATCATTTAGGCTTAGCTGGTTGGCCCAAGGATCTTCCTGTCTCTGTAACCATGGAGCTGGTATTACAAGTTCGCTCCTGTCATCAAGCTTGGCATGTTTACCTGTGTTCTGGGGATTAAACTTGGGTCCCCCTGCTTGTAAACAAGTGTGTTATTTCCTGAACCATCCTTGCCTCCCTGTCCTCTAGCATATCTTGGGGGAAAGTTTACGGAACTTTCCAGAGGGGACTTTGATTATAACATGCAAATTTGTACACTCAAATGAGAGACTATGCAAAATAATAGCGCATGATAGTAGGTGGATTTATGTGTTTCCTTTTAGTTTGCTTTTATTATAGAATTTTGATTGTTTAGACATTAATCTCATTAACAGGTTATGATCATTTTGGACCTCATTTATGAGCTCAAGAACCAATTTCCTTGTTTGTGTGAGATAATGGACTCTAATGAAACATACTTGCTCAGATCCTGGATTGGATTTGACAGCAACAGAAGCAACCATTTTTCCTTTGCTGCCATCAACCTGGCATTTCTCTACCAACAGAGCATGAGCATTAAAGCCTTTCCTCAGGCTCTAACTTTTTAGTAGACTCAGGCTAATATGAGGGTCTTACACTCTTAAATTTCTATAGCTTTCAATTTGCTTGACTTTAAAATAAAGACATCAGGCTGGTGAGAGGGCTCAGCCAGCAAAGGAGCTTGCTGTCAGTGTCTGAGTCAGATCCCTAGGACCCACATGGTAGTAAGAGAGAGGCAACTCTCACAGCTTTTCTCTGGTCTCCATTGCATACACACACATGCACACGCACACACACACACACACACGGCAGAGAGGAGCAAGCAAGCAAACAAACAAATGTGATCAAAATTATAAAAATTAGTAAAATAAATTGATCAAAATTAATTCCATAGTTAAGTTCTTCTCTATCATGAAAATATTATAATTTGATATTAATAATATGAATCACATATTTTGAATGAGGAAACGTTAGTAGAAACTGCAGTGCACAGCCAGGATTATTGTATACATAAGGAAAATAAGTTAAATCAATCTTTAGAGAGCAGCAACCTGCAAATTGTGCTGCCCTGGGCTGATAGCTGGCACACAGCAGATGACACATTGTGGGTCCCCAAAAAATTGCTGAAATCTCATCATTGTGAGCATTACCATAAAAATAAAGATTAAATGAACACTCGTGGTAAATGGGGACACTCTGCTGACCACATCCCAGAAGA